TGCTATCTCGCTTTGAAGCAACAGTATATCATTTTTCTGGGCAAGATATACCATCAACATCTAATCCATTGAAATGGTAATGCAATTTTATGATGTACTTTGATTAGACAGTGATGGTATATCTTGCCCAAAGCGAGATAGCGTTAAATAAAGATAACAGGAATGGTTGCAATAATTGCTCTTGCGCATCAAGCAAAACCTAAATTATTTAGGTTCGTTCAAGAATGCGTTGTTGATCAATGTTTATACGTGAATAAAAATGTAAATAAATTATGTTCATCATATAAAGTGATTTTGTCTCTCTAGAAGATTTGTAGTAAACCGCTCAATTCACATGGATTACTATTACGATCTTTTTGTGGACTTTTTGAAGCTTGAAACATTTTGGTTGCATAGATTTCAATGGATGGACAAAAGTGATCGGAGAATATTATTATTATTATTATTATTATTATTAAATATATCCATGTGTTTCCTGGAGATAAATGTAAATCTTCATGAGAAATTTTAAGCAGATACAAAATCAGAACAAAATGTTCATCCACCATTTGATGCACACTTGTATTCAGGTATGAAATGCCCTTTATGTTTTTTTAAAAGTTTCTAATCAGACAATATATAAACAAGTCCAGCCTTTTTTCTTCTCATTGAGAGATGACTAAACTGAGTTGCAAAGCACATTTCATAGCGACTTTAAGGTCTATATTAAAGCTGCAAGTTTATTTAATACCTAAAATCCTGTGCCTGTGCATCCTACAAAGCTGGACTTATTTATAGACCAGACTTTTCTACTATTCCAAAAAAAATCATCCATTGTAAAGCAGTTAAAAATGTTTGGGACACTTAGACATTTTACAATACACAGCTGTCAGGGTAAGGGTGTCCGGATCCATCACACTGCTATCATTAAACCGATGTTTGTACAGAGCCACACACAGAGCGAACACAATCCACATTAACCGTTCGTACACTTGAAGAATCCTGAATCCCTCACTCACAACAAGCCTGGGATGATGTGTCTCTGTCTTTTCCACTATTCAGAGAATGTAAACGTACATATCTCAATTCGAACATTATTCAATTACGTGGCTCTTTCCACTGCAGTCTTCATTCCGGAAACACACATGCTATTTCTGTGGGCTTCTGAGACTGTGCTGAATCACATGAACCGCTAATGAACATGACTTCTACGTGACATTGCTTTTGAGTGGGGATAAGATGTCTAGTAGCTGCTGATTTTGTCCCACACACTAAACGTTCTGATGCAGATATCAGATATTGAGAGATGTTGATGCTTAGCTAGAGGTTCATTTAGTTGCAGAAACACAACATGTGTGCCCATTTACTGTGGATATGCAGATGCCTCAATAAAGAGATTGAAATCCCTTTTAGTGTTTTTATTAAAGCTTCTCAGTGTTTATTGCAATTATTCAGCTTCCCGCCGTCTACAGTGCAGGATAAGCTGAGAGTAAAGCTATGCTTGAACAACACTGGTAATGATGGCTGCTGGGATCCACTAGCCATTGATGATGATGATGCATTCTGAAGTTATAAAGTGATGAACCACTGACAACTGGATTTTACAATTCTCGGCGGGTGCAAAGCCTGTGTCTCCTATGGCAGTTTTCTTTTTGTGGTAAACCGCAGCGATTCCAAGATTCCAAGACGCATGATGCAGCGATATCTCTCACAGAAAATCACTGGCAGCTTCATTCACAGACGTCCCGAGGGAAACACCTGACATGCTTGGATCAAATCAATCCTGAAAACGCCGCTTCAGTGTGGCAAAGCCATCAACACTGACGGTGAGGCTATAATGCAATTTTAGCAGAAAGATTGAGACTGACAAGGGCTCATGCTTGCAGACACCACTTCCTGTAGTTTTTGAAATAACACTTTACACTCTCAGAAACAAAATGATCTTTAGGGTGTAAAACGTCTCAGTTACTCTAGAAGAGGGAAAACCTCTTTTCTTGAGAACACTGCAAGCCAACAATTATTCATGTAATTTGAATTAATTTAAAACGCATGTTTGAGGCAGCTTGGGCGCTTATTGGCTGCTCTGCGGCAACTGCTGCAACCTATCGAGGGACTGCTTATGACATAAACACCAATGAGGGTGTTGGCGCCCTCAGTCGTCATGTCCCACGCGAATGGGCGTGGCTTATGCCTATATAAGCCAAAGCTCGATAGGATTCTCTTTGGTTTTCATCAGCTGAAGCAAAACCAAATGGTAGCACAAGCACAACAGGGTTACGCAACACTCGTTCCCTCTTCTGGAGAGAACCGAGGTAACGTTAGTAACCGAGACATTCTCTTATGAGAGTACTGTCGTGTTGCGTAAGCTAGCTTACGCTATGAGAACCCAATTTAAAATGCAGTGCGTGCTAAATCTACCACAACACTGACCCCAAGGGCGAGTGCCCTGAACTCTTATATGATATGGAGATAAAAAAGCCGAAGGATGGCTTTAAAGGGTGAACTAACCCCCAAAAATGAAAATTAAGTCATTAATTACCCACATGCTGTACCAACCCCGTAAGACCTTCGTTCATCTTCGGAACACAAATGAAGATATTTTTGATTAAATTTGAGAGCTGTCTCACTACCACATTGGCTGCCTAAGGAACTGCCTCTTGACGGCCCAAAAAGTCAATGAAGAAAATGTTTAAATATCCCAAGTGACTACCGTGGCTCAACTATATGTTTATCAAGCGACGAGAATACTTTTTGTGCGAAAAAACAAACAAAAATAACGACTTTATTCGACTATTCCTTTTCTTCCTTGTTGCCCTGAAACGAGACTTCCTTAGATTTCCACGACGCATGCGCGAGAATTGCGATCTCCTTCAACTACTTCAGTTCAGTTCTCGCGCATGCGTCGTGGAAATCTCTTGAAGTCTCGTGGTAGCCAATGTGGTAGTGAGACAGCTCTCAAATTTAATCAAAAATATCTTCATTTGTGTTCCGAAGATGAATGAAGGTCTTACGGGGTTGGTACAGCACGGGGGTGAGTAATTAATGACTTAATTTTCATTTTTGGGTGAACTAACCGTTTAATAATAATGATATAAGGCAAATGTGGTTACCTAAAGTGAACAAGGGTGCTTAACACTGTATAAAAGTCAGAGGAGGCATTAGCCTGCCTGAACTGAAACTTGCAGTTTGCGGAAGCTTGCATGCAGAACTGAGCAGATTAACTAGACTGATAACAATCTAGCTTGAAGAGCGGGAACTTCCAGGTTATAGAACCTTATAAATGTAGACGGAGAGCCCCAGATGGCCGCCATACAGATATCTTGAAGAGAAATCAATCTTCCTAACATTGTCCGGGAAGCAGGCACACTCTGTCAGTTCAAATCTAGACTAAAACACATCTCTTTGGCCTGAATTCCTGAATTCAAAATTAGGCTGCATAGTTTAGATCAGCCAGAACCGGGAACACGTCCCGTAAATCCTGAATTACTTGGTACATCATAAGAAGGATGGCTGTTTATCCCGAGGGACCCTCTATTGTGGACCTGCGCCTGGATCCATCCCGACTCATCCTTAAGTGCCGGCCTCATCGACACGACAGCAATCAACATCTCGTCTCCAAACGGGTGTGATTACTTCGACTTCCAAACAGATGGAAATGGACAAATACCCTTAATGTTTCGATCCAATTTGTTTTGTAATGCTGCCCGAATCACACACTGTTCCTTCGTTGGCCAGCGACTGAGCCTGGGTTCTCCCAAGGTTTTTTTCTCCATTCAGTCCCTGATGGAGTTTGGGTTCCTTGCCACTGCCTCGTTTCTTTTAGTTTTTCTGAATAAACACGAGTCCCAGTCACGCCGACCCTGTCTTCTTCCTTCCACACACACTGAACCTCTTCACACTGATCTTATCTGATAGGCTACTGTACAATATTTTCATTGTAGCCTAATAGAAAACGCATTTTGGCACATAATTTGGTTCAACCAAACCAATTGAGTAAAATGACTTCACCAAGTACAACATGCTCCTGAATCAACAAATTTGTTGATGCTGGAACATCATCTTATCAGCCAATCAGATTTGAGGTACAAGTTTACAGATTATGTCAAGTTTAGGCTTACAACCAGAGTTAGGTACTTCATACTTCATACAACATACTTAGCAGAATGTTGTTCGAGGATCAACAAAATATGTTGACCAACTTTGCAAAATCAAGATGTGTGAATCCTGCTTCAACTTAAGCAGGAGAAAAAAACCTTGGGATATCCCAGGCTACTCCAGGGAGCCAGTTCTCTAGATAAACAATCAGTCATCTTAAACAACAAGGGCAATATGTACTTTTTTAGGGGTAGTTAAAGGGTTAGTTCACCCAAAAATGATTTTTTTAATTTTTTTACTCCCTATTAAAATATTTGGAAGAATGTTTTAATCAAACAGATCTCATTCCCCATGGGGAATGAGATCTGTTTGATTAAAACATTTTTCCAAATATCTTCCTTTGTGTTCAGCAGAACAAATAAACACATAGAGGTTTGGAACAACATGAGGGTGAGTAAATACTGACAGAATTTTCGGTTTCACTTTATTTGGATGGTCCCTTTAACACATTCAGTTTACTATAAGTAACGTTGTACCTACATCTCTACTAACTCTCACTAGAGTGTTAGTAGAGTATTAGTAGACTGGTAGGGTTAGGGTTAGAATAAGTTGGCATGTAGTTGCAAAGTTACTTATAGTCAGTAGATTGTCTGTTGGAGGAGCATCACAATAAAGATTTGGCAAATATTAAGCTGACAGTCTACTAATACTCTAATGAGAGTTAGTTGACATGTAGTTGAAAAGTTACTTATAGTCAACAGAATGTTCAAAAGGGACCATCAAAATAAAGTGTTACCGAATTTTCATTTTTGGGTGAACTAACCCTTTAAAGTAAAAAGGTGCCCCTTTGAGGGTACTGCCCCAGTAACAACCTGTTGTATCCCTAAAGGGACAGTGTACAATCGGTGAAGAGAGTGGAAACTCACCTCGTCAACATTCTCGAAGGCATTAATGACGTCGTAAGGAAGACAAGAGAGGAGGTCGATGACGAACCAGGTCTTCACGTAGTTCATGCGTATAAGTTTTGGGTCTGAGATCACCTCCCCAGCGGGTCCAACAAAGGTGGTGTGGAAGTTGAGCACGATGTCCACCAGGAATATCACATCCACAATGCTGTCTACGACCAGCCACGTGACGTTGTTTTGCTTGGTCTTGAAGGACACGTTGTAGGGGACCATGATGGCCGTGTAGAAGGTGAGGATGAGGATCACCCAGTCCCAGGTGGTCTTGAAGGTGCAGTAGTGCAGGATGATGTGCGGAGGGGTTTTCGGAGCCTCTTGCTTGTACTGCGGGAGGATGTCCGAGCCAAGCTGCAGTACCTGAGAGGGAATAAGGAGAGGACAGGGTGTAACTATCCGGACAAAAGTTATGAACATTTTGGAAGACAGTATGGTAACATTTCCTTTCCTTCCATCACATTAAATTTTGGCAGTACATTCCCATATTTTTTTGTTCCATAAGGGTAAACTCTAACCAAGAGACTGACAGGTACGAGTGCGCGAGACGAGTGTTTCCGCACATTTGTGACAGAGACAGCCTGAATCTGGGAATGGAGATTTGCACACACTTGCTTCTATCCAAAGTAACTTAAGCCAAGAGCAGACAAGGAGACAGAAGAAGCTCATCCACCTTTCAAGTCTGCACCAAAACGCTCCAGATCAGAGCCAACTCAGTGTGTGTCTGCGTCTCAATCGGCTCCTTATAGTTTAGTAGTCAGGGCACTGGTCAGGAAGTCGGACATTTTAAGGTGTGCTGAAACATTCGCTCCCTAAAAAGTCCCTCAATGCACTGTGAAATCAGCGAGCATCAATGCTCACTATGTCAATGCACACTATGTCAATGCTCTCTTGTCAGTGCTCATATGTCAATAGTCATATGTCAATGCTCACTACCCAGACAGCAAACTGACATTGAATCAATGTGGAAACGACGTCTCTCATGACATTGAAACAACGTTGATTTGCTCATCGAATTAACGTTGAACTAACGTCAGACGCGGCATTCTTCAAAGCTAAATGAAATCGAAAATTAGTTTGCTTTCATAACGTTGAAACAACGCGTTGATTTCAAGTTGATTTTCCGTTAGTTTTGAAAGAATGACGTATCTGACGTTGGTTCAACGTTAATTCGATGAGCAAAACAATGTCAGATCAACGTTGTTTCGATGTCATATTTCCACGTTGATTCAATGTCAGTTTGCTATCTGGGTATGCTCCCTTAACACGATAGATGTTTTAAAAAAAAAAATACAAACCATCATTTAAGTACATTTCAAACATAAATATGAAAATAAGTGATAATACATAAATAAATTAGGGCTGCCAAACGATTAATCGTGAATAATCCAAAATAAAAGTTTGTGTTTACATAATATATGTGGGTGCACTGTGTATAATTATTTTATATATAAATACACACACATGCATGTATATTTAAGAAAAAAATATTATTTGTATATAAAATATTTATATATAATATAAATTATATATAAATCTATATACAGTATATACATGAAAATATTTCTTAAATATATACAATATAACTTTTTTTTTACATTGTTTAATAAATTTTTTTTTCCTTGGGTGATGGGGTTGTAGGGTTGGGTATCGAGAATCGAGTATCGATTGGAACCGGGACTAACTTTTCGTTTTTCCCGGAATCGTTCAAAAGTTAAAATTTCGATTCCTAGTTTCGATATTCACAGTCCATCGAGCGGAAAAAGAAACCGCTGAACAACACCAACGAAGAAGCGTCTACCAGAAGTGTTGGCATAACCGCCCAAGTCGAACATGAGTAGCTTACGTCGGCGGTCCAAAGTGTGACTTCACTTTTCTAAAAATAACGAAATCTCTGCAAAATTTGTGACAAAAGGAGTATTTCCTTCAGAAAGACCGTTTGTTAGCAAGGTTAGCTAAACTTTTTTGACCCTGCCTCTTAAAAGAATCGGAATCGAGAATCGTTAGGAACCGGAATCGAAACAAGGAATCGGAATCGGAATCAGAATCGTTCAAATTCAAACGATACCCAACCCTATGGGGTTGACAACATTTTTTGACTATTCTCCGGTCTCTATATCCTGTAATTATTTTAAAAGTTTTAGAAAAAAGAAAAAGATTTAAAAAAACATACATAAATCATTTGAAAGTCAATGAACACTCTAGCAAAAATGTATAATTTATTCACTGCCAAATGTTGCATGTAAAGGTTGCATGTACAGTATATGTAACAAGCAAAGTATTTATTATAATGCACTTTAAAAACCATTGACAAATACTGTCAGAAAGATATCAGCTCTGGTGTTGTCCATACCAGAAGTGATGTTGTACAATGAGGATGTTGTCATGTCACCATCAGTGTCCAAATGTGTAGTTTGCAAGGGTCTTTACTTACTTACCAGTGCCTGAATCTGTGTACACAATACCAAGTCACGACCAAGGACAGGGATCTGATAGAGATGCACCTTGAGCTCTCATGTTTTCGATTAGTCACAGACTCTACAATACACTTAAAGAGGACATATTATGCCCATTTTTTACAAGATGTAATATAAGTCTCAGGTGTCCCCAGAATGTCTCTGTGACATTTCAGCTCAAAATACCCCACAGATATTTGAGAGGAGGCAAAAGCATGCTGTTTTCGAGCATGTATCTTTAAATGTCAATGGGTGTCTGCTCCAACCCAATCCAGAATAGTGCCAGAGATGGTCTGATTATTGATACCAATCACATTACAGCCTTGACATCATTGAATTTAATTCAGAGTTGTGCGACAGTCAATCACTGTTTGCCGTAAACTGAATCATACCTGTCCCGCTCAATCCAAAACTAATCTTTAAGAGCAAACATGGTGAAGTTTTGCCAATGGACTGAAGTGAAAGCAGTGTGGTTACACTTTATATTCAATAAAGTGTTCTTTATATTCTAAAGTGAAGGTCATGGTAACCCACGAGTGATGACTCAAGTATTACCAAATCATTCAGAAGGCATTACTAGATATTTGGATCATTATTCTAAATTGAAAAACAAGATGACTCCCTAATAATGACTGAAGTCATTGTAATCTGAATGAACAGAAGGAATGCTGATTTGCAATATTGTGAAATCACATTTTTTGGTTCAGAAAATATTATTTTTTTAAAAAAAAAAATTGTCTTGTGATAGATGTAAATCTACTGTTAGACATTGTTCGTTCGTAGACAAATTAAACTAGTGTAAGCTAAGCATGTATAGCTGAAGAATCCTGCAGTTTGTGAGTGTGTGTGAGAACAGAATTTGGATGCTGTTGGCAGTGAGAATAATTTGAAACAAGAAACTAAGAGAGGAAATTCACTAATGCTGTCACCCATTCCACTCCTTAGTTCACTATATCTACCTGAACATTAGGACACTGATGACTCAATACAATTATGTGGTTTAAGCTGAAAAAGTGCAATGTCTGCTTAATCTGCACAGCATGTGGTTCATAAGCTCAAAGTATACTACAGTTTTGATACAAACGGTTAGCTTACAGCGAACACATGGCTTTTCATACATACAATTCAACAATATTATTGATCTGTCTGCATTGACACCATCATATGAGAACTGAACTAATCTGGACGATGACATCACCGTTTTCTCCAGAGCGGCTAAATTAACTAAATTAATAACTTTTTTACAACAAAAATGATGCAGTTTTCTTCTAGATCTGCTGCAGAGCCGAAACAAACTTGGTTCCCTTATCAAAATCCCTTGTGAACGAAAATGTGATGTTTTAATACAGCTTTAAGGTTATATCATTACACTGTGAAACTACATTAAAAGATCAAGCAGTGCTGTGAAAACAGTTGTGAAGGATTTTTTAACTCATCATTCACTAAAATATCTTTCAGTTACACAGACTTGTGAATCTCAACAATGATGACAATCAACAACAAAAAAAAAATCAAATCTGACCATCACAAAACATGCTACTAAAAGTCAACACAAAAGCAACAGCAAAAATAAAAAGTAAAAATTAAAGAAAATAACCAGAAAATGCAGCTACATTATTTATTTGTGCTGCAATGCATGCTGGGAGTCATGGGTGATTCTTCTGTACTATGCTGGTACCCAAAATGGATTGCAGCATGAAACATTTGACTGTCACCATTGTTGAGATTCATATGTTGATTCTTTGTTTGTGTGTGTCTGGCTGATCTACAGTAAAAGTTCAAAAAGTTCTGAGCAAAAACATATTAAAATTCTTCATATTTTATGGTTGTCAAAACCCTGATAGATCTTGAACTGTAAAATCACAACGATCCCATAATCAAAAATACAAAACATCACCCATATAAATACATTAGACAATAAAACAGCTCATTGAATCTGCCTACTCTATGATAATTGTGACCATTAATAAATAATCACTGTCACCTGATCCTGTGTTCTTTCAGCTTTTTTGCCATACCAAATGCATTTTCAGCAGCCAAAGATAAACTACTTTGCAATAGTCAACGGTCAACTAAAGCAAACACCGATCACCATCATGGTAACATCAAATGAAAAAAAAAAATGACATCGAAACCTTCTGATTTTTAACAGTGTTCTGCAGTTTGGACTCAAATGATATGAACAGAGACTAGCGGGTAAAGTATACTCCATTTGATAGTACCTTTCTCTGTCCAGTATCTGCACTATTTCTCTCCAGAATCTATGGCTGATAAAATGCCTTTGTACATGTCTAAACTACACTTGCAAGAATCGGTTACACTTTATTTTAATGTGTTATTGTTACATATATTTAAGTACTGAATTATTTAGTTAGGGTTAGTTGCATGTAATTATGCATAATTTGCTGTTGTTATTGTGGTAAGTACATGTAGCATATGTAACAAGGACACTGCAACATAAAGTGTTACGCAAGAATCTCTTGTTGTTCCGTCTTTTTTCAGGCTCATTTTTGAGCTGAGCACACAGCGACAAATTAATCTGGACGTATGTACTATTCTGATGATGTCATTTACATCACGTGCACTGTATGCATACCCTATAGCGTGTCAAAATGTGTTCAGAAAGCGTTTTGGAGCCGATGCAGGAACTGAGGGGGGAAGTTGATGTGGAGTGTGTGACGTGAACAGCAGCCGCACATGTTGGAGATTTATCTCAAGACAGCAGAGGGGCTTTTGGGATTGCAGCACACACTCTTGGCCAAGAGGGCTCAGGTATAAATGGATGGAGTGTTGCTTTGATGAAAGTGCTAGAACACACACACAACAGTGATCACCTCAGCCAGACGGGAGTGCTTGTGGACGTTCTCGCCCTTGTGGACAGTGGGTGCCAGCTGCTGTAAAACACCACGACTGCTGGTCAACGCCCGCGTCAGGCGAGCAAACTTTCCCCAACCTTCAGTCGTATAAAAAGAGGAAATAGTTAGAGGATTAAAAATTGTGTGTTATAAATCAGTATTATGAAGTGTGTAGTTTCATTCCTGCATGATAAATATATAAAAAAAAAAAAACAGAAATTGTTCCAGCAGTGAAAACAACATCCTGATTAAATCTAAAGTCAAACAGAGAACAGCTTTCACTTTCCTAATGCAATTTGCACCTATTGAAATGTTTTGGCTGATGGGAAATGAGTCAAATCAAACCTTTAGAGGAGTCATCTTCAATAGGCTGCTTGAACGCAGTGATATCACTGAAGGTGCAGAGGAAGAGTACAACTTTGTCCTGTTCGTTTCGGATGGGAGCAATTTTGATGAAGAACCACACTGGCATCCCTGCAATACCAGCATTTTCTTTTTAATTCCTTGATAAATACGATAAGAATAAACTCTTTCAAATGATTTCAAATAGACAACTCACGGTTCTTCTTGTACATAAGTATTTCAAAGGAGTTCATCTCATAGTTCTCAAAGGTCTGGCGGACTTTATCGCAGGTTTCTTTGTCAGTGAGTTCCCCATACATGAAGCTGAGAGAAGGACAAAGAGGCGTACATAACCAATCTCTATTAAAATACTGAGTGAGCATAAACTCAAGCTGTGAGCCATGTTGCCAAATCCATGATTGAACAACTTGAGGTTGCGGTTATTCTCCATTAAATGGTTATGGGTTCTGATTTGTTAAAGGAGTAGGTCATAATTTACTCACCCCCACGTTTTCCAAGATGTTCATGTCTTTCTTTTTTCGGTTTTTGAGGAACACACTCCAGGATGATTCTCCATATAGTGACTTCAATGGTCCAACGGGTTGAAGATGTGAGTTTCAGTGCAGCTTCAAAGTCTCGACACGATCCAGCCGAGGAATAAGAGTCTGATCTAGACAAACCAGCCGACATTTTATTAATACCATTGAAGTCCATTATATGAAGAATCATCCTGGAGTGTGTTCCTCAAAAACCTTCATTTCTCTTCCAATGAAGAAAGAAAGACCTGGACATCTTGGATGACGTGGAGGAGAGAAAATTATGAAGAATTGTTAATTCTGAAGTAAACTACTCTTTTAACTGATGCCGTTTAATTATAAATAAAGAGGGGAGCACCTGCATGTGCTGCTCTTCTGCATGACTTCGGCACGATGGTAACCAGACAGCTTGCAGAATCCATCATTGCTGTAGACAATAGGCCAATCCACAATTTGGGCATTCCCCAAAACAAAATTGGTGTCTGCCAGGAAGGAATGAAACATTGTTTTTTTATATTGTGGTAACATCAGCAATGATATAGGGGTCTCAAACGTCAAGACTTAATTCTGATATAAGATAAAACACTAGCTCCCTCATTCACCTTAAAGGAGTAGTTAACTTTTAAAAAAAACTTTTGCTGATAATTTACTCACCCCCATGTCATCCAAGATGTCCATGTCTTCCTTTCTTCAGTCGAAAAGAAATTAAGGTTTTTTATGAAAACGTTCCAGCATTTTTCTCCATATAATGGACTTCAATGGGAACCAAACGGTTCAAGGTCCAAAAGACAGTTTCAGTGCAGCTTCAAAGGGCTTTAAACGATTCCAGACGATGAATATGGGTCTTATCAAGCGAAACGATCGCTCATTTAAAAAAAAAAAAAAGTTTAAGTTTTATAAGCTCAAATGCTCGCCTTGCTCTGTTCTGTGATAAGCGTTCGTGACTCTCCTGTTCAAACTCGTTGATCAAAATGAAAAAATCTTGTTTCGAGTCAAGGGTCCTAGATCAGACCCTTATTCATCATCTGGAATCGTTTAAAGCCCTTTGAACAGTTTGCACTGAACCTGTCTTTTGGACCTTGAACTTTTTGGTTCCTATTGAAGTCCATTATATGGAGAAAATCCTGGAATGTTTTTATCAAAAATCTTAATTTCTTTTCGACTAAAGAAAGAAAGACATGGATGACATGGGGGTGAGTAAATTTTCAGCAAGTTTTTTTTTTTAAAAGTGAACTACTCCTTTAAGCTCTGGTCACATTAGCCAAATTTCACAGGGCAAAAACTATCCATCATTCACTACTAGTGTTGCAATGTTTGAAGTCACTTTCAAACCAAGCAGCTTTCTGTTGCTCAACATGGCGAATGCACGTGACCAACTTCTGAAATCTGTGTGGGGAAATATTTCACCCCCATGCAACATCCTCAAATTCGCTGAACAATGGTAAATGTGACGGCAACTTTACTCTTGAAGAAATAAACCATTCCATGGGTGAATTCTGGAAATATATGGTTACGGCATCTGCTATCAGTGGCGACAATGCCTGATATCTGATACGCTTCTTTAAAATAAACATTTAGAGCAACTTAAACACTGAGTTTAACAATGCTTCACAGATAACTCTTAATCGGAAGCCCGAACTGCATCGCCAAATACAGTGAAACACAAGAATCCAGTGCTAATGTTGTTTACCAACAGACAGCCAATCGTTAATGACCTCATTAAATATTCATGAGCTTTCTACAGAGTAGAATGTAAAGAGAGATCAAACAGGATTACTTTAAAACACAAAAAAGAAAATGGGGATTTCCTTTATTGTCCTATAATGTGATTTCACCAGCAAGTGATTAAAGGTGTAGCTCATCATTTACAGATTTGGCCTCTTCTTTATTAGGGTGCTAATGCTTCCCACAAATTCCCTTGATTACATAACAATATAGTGAAAGCACATTAGCAGTACAATATACAGACAATGAATTAAGGGATAAGAGAAATCACTTCTACTGATCTAGATCTACAAACTACAGCGATGGTAAACAGAAACAGCACCACAGTGGGATGGATGGGACTGAATCACAGCGAAACATCAGCTATATACCTGTCTGTCTATGAGAAAATGTCCAAACTGAAAAGTTGAAAGGAAAAAGTTACAGCAAGAACAAACATTTTTTTAATAAACTTTTAGATTTTCGTCCTGTCTTTATTCCCAAAATTATCAATTCTAAAAACGCATACAAATATATATATATATATATATATATATATATATGCAATGTGTAATCTGCAGGTTAATAATAATACATGATTATATATAATATGCAATATACACTCTCAAAAAAAGGTACAAAAGCTGTCACTGGGGCTGTACCTTTTTAAAAGGTATACTTTTGTACCCAAAGGATGCATATTGGTACCGTAGTGGTACATATTAGCACCTAAAATGTACATATTAGCACCTAAAGTGTACATTTTAGCCTCTAAATGTACATATTAACACCTAAAATATACTTATTAGCACATAAAATGTACATATTAGCACCTAAAATGTACATATTAGCACCTAAAATGTACATATTAACACCTAAAATATACTTATTAGCACATAAAATGTACATATTAGCACCTAAAATTTACATATTAACACCTAAAGTGTACATATTAACACTTAAAATGTACATATTAGCATCTAAAATGTACATATTAACACCTAAAATATACTTATTAGCACATAAAATGTACATTTTAGCACCTAAAATTTACATATTAACACCTAAAATGTACATATTAGCACCTAAAAATTACATATTAACACCTAAAATATACTTATTAGCACATAAAATGTACATATTAGCACCTAAAATTTACATATTAACACCTAAAATGTACATATTAACACTTAAAATATACATATTAGCACCTAAAATGTACATATTAACACCTAAAAAATACTTATTAGCACATAAAATGTACATATTAGCACCTAAAATTTACATATTAGCACCTAAAATGTACATATTAGCACCTAAAATTTACATATTAACACCTAAAATTTACATATTAGCACCTAAAATGTACATATTAGCACCTAAAATGTACATATTAGCACCTAAAATGGACAAAAGTTTACCTTTTGAAAAGGTACAGAGTGTTTTTCTGAGAGTGTATACATACATACTCAAGCAGTGCAGTCTAAAACAACAAATTATTCAATGTGTGGAATGCCAAATAAAAAATATTGTGGTACAACAGTATGAGACCTGAATGGTTGTACTATATGTACAAGCACGTGGAGTGAGTTGACTGTAATGTTGCAGAATAAATGATTTCCCCAATAGGATAAAGTGAAAGGCTTCTCTCACCGTTGGAGCGGCGGACTATATTCTCCAGGAAAGTATTCTGCGGGGCCACCAGTCCTCTGCGTCCCCCGGCCATCCCTGCTCCTCATGCGGTCTGAGATCAGTGTGAGGATGAGGAGGGCACCTGTCCGAAAGCAGCCTACATGATTCTGGCAGAGTAAAGAGCCCGATTCGGGATATGAAGCCCCCCCTGCTGCTGAAGAGCCAACCAGAGCCTCCCATAGACAACATCTGTGTGATGAGATCCAACATGTGCAGAGTCTGACCCTCACGGAGACATCTGTTGGGGAGAGGGAGAACTACAGAATAAACAAAGCCTGAAAATTACTGCAACCCATTTGAGCTTGTTCTGTACAATTTCGGGGTGTAAAACGCGGAGACCCCAAACTGCACCGCTGCTCGGGTCCCGCTTGATTTCCCACTGAATTCTACAGTTAAAGGAGTAGTTCACTTTTGAAAAAAACATTTGCTGATAATTTACTCGCCCCCATGTCATCCAAGATGTCCACGTCCTTCTTTCTTCAGTCGAAAAGAAATTAAGGTTTCTGATGAAAACATTCCAGGATTTTCTCCATATAATGGACTTCAATGGGAACCAAACGGTTCAAGGTCCAAAAGACAGTTTCAGTGCAAACTGTTCAAAGGGCTTTAAACGATTCCAGACAATGAATAAGGGTCTTATCAAGCGAAACGATCGCTCATTTGAAAAATATAAAGTTTAAGTTTTATAAGCTCAAATGCTCGCCTGTGATGCACAGTCGTGACTCTCCTGTTCGAACTCGTTCATCAAAATGAACAAATCTTTTTTTGAGTCATGACTCAAAGGGTCCTAGATAAGACCCTTATTCATCGTCTGGAATCGTTTAAAGCCCTTTGAACAGTTTGCACTGAAACTGTCTTTTGGACCTTGAACCGTTTGGTTCCCATTGAAGTCCATTATATGGAGAAAATCCTGGAATGTTTTCATCAAAAACTTTCATTTCTTTTCGACTGAAGAAAGAACGACATGGACATCTTGGATGACATGGGGGTGAGTAAATTATCAGCAATATATTTTTTTTTTAAAGTGAACTACTCATTTAAATATCAAACGCCACTTAGGCTGCTAGTCCCATTTGCACTAAAAGCCCTATATCTGCTGAACTCCAAGACCAAATTTAACTAAATTTGGCAATCATCAACAAAGGGACATTCTGAGGATGCATGCAAAATTTTGTCCAATTCTGTCCATGGTGTAAAACTAAAACCTGGTCATATTTATTGTATTGCCATGAGTATAGCGCTTGTGTTAAGCAATGTGTGCAAACAGAATTTTTGTTGTTGTTGAATAGAGTTGTGTTTTTTACCATAGAAATTGTAATTCACCACAAATTCAGAATAAAAACATTTACAGCATGCTTGATTGTAGCACACCATTTTAAGCAAATATCAACTTAAATAGACTTGACGTAAGGCTGATAAATGTGTGTTAAATTGCAGGTTTATGAAAAAAATACTAATATTTATTTTTAAATATGATTGCATATTAAACACAACTTTGTGAATGTTTAGGTCCATGTATGATGGAGTAGTGTGTAATTATGGCAAAGGTTTTGTTTTTTGAATATGTATACACAGTATACCTATTTTACTTCCTAGTAGAACTTCAGTAGAAATTAGTAGAAAATTACCCCAAATGGCCCATCAATGTGTTAGGACTTTATGAATTACACTGATAAACAATTCCTTGGGCAAAGACAGTTTGATAGACCTTGAATTTCATTCTTTGAGTCAATGCTGCCATCTATAGGAAAACAGGCGTTTAATTAAAAAAGAAAGAATTTCTAGAGTTTACTGCCATCTAGAGCACAGCATTACTGTGTGAGTGTGTGCTCCATTCAGCCATTAAACAACACACAATACAAACACAAATCACACAAAACACAAGTTACATGCAATTCTTGGTTATATGCTGTTAATTTCATTTTGGTTTAATGCAGTTCGATGTTTGTTATACTTCAACTTAATAGCAATTAATCAGGATGGCAATTTACTTATTTACCTATTTACTTTGTTAGCGCATATTCCTAGTCTTGTGGTGAACAATTAATCCGTGCAAGTAAAAATATATTTAAAAAATGTTTTACCTTGGTAATCTTTAAAGTCCCCGTGAAATCAAAATTGAACCTATTTACTTTGTTAGCGCATATTACTAGTCTTGTGGTGAACAATTAATCCGTGCAAGTAAAAATATATTTAAAAAATGTTTTACCTTCGTAATCTTTAAACAAAATCTGAAAAGTTACTTCCGGTCTGGAACGGTTTCTTTTTCCGATGACGTAGGTTTCACAACTTGGGTGGGGAAACGCTTAACCACTCCCCTCAAACCGTTAGTTTGCTATGAGCGAGAGATGGAGAGGAGGAGCGCTAGAGTAAAACCCTGCCCTCTGTTTTTTTTTTTTTTTTTTATTGAAATAATTATACATCACAGTAAATAAAAAAATACAACATAAATTAAAATAATAATACAATAAAAAACAAACAAACAAAAAAAAAAGAAACCGGTATGAGATCATGAAGTAAATAACATAAAAGCTTCACATAAAGACCTCGTACGTTTTGCTTTACTATTTTTTAACCCAAGAAGTAACTCACAATAATTTTTCATTTCTATCTGAAATAAAAAAAAAATTGGTTTCCCTTTAGCCCATTTTTGCTTGTGTATATGATATTTCCCCATAATCAAACAGAGGTTAACAACAAAGGCCACATTTGGAGATAAACTTTGTCTATTAAAATAAAAAAAGACATCTTTTTCAGAAAAGAAAAAGTTAATTCCTAACCATTTACAAAGAAAACATTCCATATCCACCCTGCCCTCTGTTCAATATTCCGTTTCACTTGGAAATACGTCACAGCACTGGAGAAAAATCTTTTGCAACTTCCGGTTCACGGGGACTTTAATGTAACAATATACAGTGTAAGCGATAAATCACGTTTGAGAATTCTGCTGGCTACTGTATACAGGCCACCAGGGCACCATACAGACTTTATCAAAGAATTTGCTGATTTTTTATCATAGTTAGTAACGTCTGCAGATAAAGTAACTGTTGGTGATTTTAATATACATGTAGATAATGAAAAAGATGCATTGGGATTGGCATTTAAATAATAAGCCGACCAGTATTGACTAAATCTGATTTCGCTCTCCTTCTGATGTAGGAAGGGGATATTATTTTAATATTACCACCCCTCGCGAGTGCATAACCCGTTTTAACACAATGGCAACATATGAGCAAAGCATGTAAACTGTTCTGTGGTTGCTGCATTTACTGGTGCATTATTTTACCAAAACATGTCACGGCTGTCTTATAAACACTCAGGGAACTGTCAACTTGTGAAAAAGTTAAATATGACAGAACATGCAAGTCGATGAGATGAATCAATGTAACCACATCAACAACATAAATGTATCCACTTACCATTCAGAAACATCCAGTTGCATCTAAACGTTTAACCTCTTCCTGAATCTCTCTGTAAGGCTGGACTTGCATCTGGTTATCAATGAGATTTAACCCTTATGCTGCATTAGGGACATTTTTGGTCTTTTGCAGTTTAATTTCTTTGACCATTTTGGCTGTTTTAATGCAAATGGTATGAAATTTTGCAAAATTGTGACTTTTTGGATACATGTAAAAAATGTGATCCCATTTTGCAAAATATGTATAACACACACTGTGTAGATCAAATAGTAACACTCAGCACCATAAAGACCAAAAATGGCCCATTGAAACCCATTAAAACGTTGTTTAAATCTGAGGCTGTCAGTAATACATGAAACATGATTTTTGCACAAACATCCTTTCATTTTGAAGCAAAAGCATTATATTTGCATTATATAGTGTATTCCACCAGATGACGTCACTACATATTTATTCCCTATGGGTGGAAATGCATTAGGCAATAGGCAATGTTTAATAGGTGGCCATTTTTGGTCTCTAACGCGCTAAGTGGGATTTTTTGCAAAGTGGGACTGTGATAATCCAAATCTAAAGTTTTCTCTTTGCATTTAGTTTATTGAAAATAATTGAATTTTTGTGTTTTTTCCTCTTATACAAATCGATGGTTTCGCAAACAAAACTGGTAATTAAAGGGTTAAAATCCTGAAATTGAATACATTTTTGGTAGTTATGATGAGGACTGATGCTGGTTAAAAGATTTAACTTGGTAAAAGTGGAAAATAATAATAATATATAATATTTTAGGCAATGTTTAATATGTGGCCATTTTTGGTCCTTAATGCACTCAACAGTGTTAAAAATCTAATGCAGCACAAGGGTTAAATGAAATTCACGTTTGTGCTTGTGTATGGATCGGCCTCTTCTCAACTGAGGCGGAGCAGCAGATAATTTGCATTTAAAGGGACACACACAAAAGGCACACAAAGGATTGTGAGCTGAAACTTCACAGAGACATTCTGGGGACACCGTAGATTTATACATAAACACAATCATGCAAAGAAAAAAAGCAGTCAACCCCCCCTTTAATAACATTACACCACTGGATTTGCTCAGTGTTGCCATATGATGAAGATGACTGCTGTACATCTAAAAAGAAAGCTCACACGAGCATCAATGACTGCCAAAACATGCTTTATTGCACAAAGCATTATAGTACCTCTTGCAGTATTTATGACACTGTACACTGAATATCCAGAGGTCTCTAGACAGTGGTTTTAAAGAGCGGATCCTCACTGACGACCTGCTTGAGGATCCCGTTCTCGATGGTGGACGGAGCAGGGCACTCGGGGGACCTGGTGCTGGGGAAGGCCTGGATGCTGGGTTCCCTCTGTCCTGGGATCTGGGGGTCCGGGAGGAACGGGAGGGTGGAGGCCTGTGGAGGTCCCGCAGCAGGGCTCTCAGGGAACGCTGGAAGGGTCATGGGCTTGTCCACAGGAGGGAGGACAACGACCATCCCTTCAGGGCGCCTCACTGGGGTTTGATGGGCATGTTCGTGGTGGTGGTGGTGGTGGTGCTCGTGCTCATGGAGGTGTCTGTGTTTGTGCTCGTGGTCCAGAACCAGCTCGTGGTCATGCTCATGGGTCTCATTCTTGTGAGCGTACTGGTGGTGGTGGTGCTCCCACTCGCCCTGAGCGTGCTCATGGGCCTGGGCGTGATGGCCGTGAACATGCTCGTGGTCGTGAGAGTGGGTGTGTGTGTGGCCCTCGCCGTGAGAGTGAGTGTGGTTGTGTTTGGTTTGGTCATGCTCATGGTCGTGTCCTAAAGACGAGCCTGTTGTGCTGCTGTGACTGTGATCATGTTCACCTCCAATCAAATGCTTTTTCTTCTGCTCTTCAGCCGCCTAAAAAAATACAGTAAATGAAAGTCTGAATAAAATCTAACTCAGTATTAAAGACTAACTTGGCTGATTTTCAAGTTTTCTTGAAAGCCCATCT